AATATTAGGAACAGCATACATACTGTGTCAATATTTAACAGATACTTAGGTTTTTGGGTAAAACTTGTATCTGTTATATAATACCAAGGCCACATAGGAAACACAGTGGGGAATTGAACTCCCAACCTCTCACTAGGATGCTTCAACCACTGAGCTATCCAGCCAGCTCCATTGACCTTACTGTGTATGAACTTGAGTGAGGATATGAATTTCAAACAGCTGGAAGGCCGTATATTACCAGCCTGATATGGAAACAGTTGAATAATGGTGTGGAAAGGAACCAACAAGAAGGAAATCATAAGAGGACGAAAGCCGAGTGTTCCTGTCCTTACCATTGTTCAATATGGAAGAAAGTTGAAGGCACCACACGGGACCTGCAATATATCCCTGATGTCTCAATCCAAGCCATCATTTTTTCCTTAACATCCTACATGTATGGACACATCAGCCACAAGGAAAGCATGTTGGCTAGGATTTACTCTGACATTCCCAGGGGAAATTCCCATCTTCTAGCTCCAGGTCTTAAAACCCAATTTCATGAGAATATTCAATAGTGGCTTCCAGTCTGTAGACCTTCAGGGGACCCTCGGTGTGTTTCTTTAAGTCCCTTAGCTTTTTGACCATCCAGCTCTTGCCTCTGGGTTTCCCATGTCAGAGTCATGACAGTGTTTTGGAATACATCATCCTCCCATTCATTAATAAATCTTACCAAAAAAGATGAGCAGTGGTGGGAAAGTTATATTTTAGAAGGTTGCTTTTGTGCCACTACTGTCGTTTTGTTTGGGGAACCTGTAAATGTTTGAGGAACCTCGGATTTGGAACACAACTTGAGAAATGGTGACAAGGATTCTTTTCAAGCAGCATTCTTTATCTAGTGGCACTGTCTGTTATATTATACATTTCATATATACTATGCATCGGCAACATGGCATGCCGGGTAGGGTATCAGAAGATAGTGCAAGCATCAGGTATACACAGGAAAGGAAGAACAAGACGTGAAGGGGAAGATGTCTCCTCAAATGCCAACAGCTAATCTGGTCTGCTTTCTCAGTCACTCCCAGGATACAGCTCCCTATGGCTGAATCCTCGGCCACCCAGATTGGGAATCCCACTCAATACAACTTCACCATATTGGCGAACCCGTCTCCTTCTGTCACTGTTTCCTGGAAGGGAAAGGTTTTTGAAGGTGATGATATCAAGGTGGTGGAAGAGGACCAAGGTACATACATGGTGTCTTTACAGGTGAGATGTGCCTCTCAGGTAAAACCCCAGGGATGGGGATGGGGAGGAAATATCTTCAGATGCTAAAAGAATGGCTTCTACTTTCTATTTCACACTAACAACAATCCCATTAGCCTGAGGCCAGCCTAGTCCCTAGTTAACTGAAGAGATGAGCTGGTCTAATTGACAATCAGCTTATGATCAGATAATGGGAAATGGATCAGAAAATGAGAAACGATCATTTGTGAGATGCAGAGATAGACAGATTTTTCCATTAGGAAAAAAGGAAACACCCACATAAAACGGGCATGCAATGGACTTGGAGCTGGGAAAAAGCAAAAAGTCATGGTCTAGACAAATCTGCTTGTTCCTACTTCCAATCCCATTTATGAAGAAAAATGTGCTTTTTTTGTAAGCCCATTTAAACCACTGATTAAACCACATCCTCATCTATCAATGAGAGTTAAGTGGGAAGTCAACACTATATAAAACCCATGAAGTTAATGAGTCTACTCTAGTTGGAACTAGGAATAGGATACTGGCCAGAGGTCCCGGTGGCCATAATTATTTGGGTGAACTACGATGCAGGGGGAGATCTTCTCATATTCGGTGGATGCAATATCAGTCAGAAGAACCCTTCTGTCAGCAGAAGGCAGTTCCTAGATCCTCCTGGGTGTTCAGAGAAACTTCTGTATATAGATCATTTTATGGAAGTATCCATGTATCTTGTTACTGGCTCAAGGGACGGTCCTGAGTACATGCTACGAATATAAAAGTGCACTTTGGAATTTGTTTTTGCATAGTTTGAGGTCCCACATAGCACTGTATCCTGTGTGTTATATGCTAACATTGAACCCCTTTTCCTAATTACAGTCTTTGGGTATCCAGAACTGTCTCATTTGGAAACAATAAAGAGGCGTGAACAGAACAATGAGCAATCTGAATACATATTTCCCGGATTTATAACCCCCCAAAACTAAAATGCACTCGAGCATAGAAGCCAACACTTTACAGAATTTGGTGATGCAGTTCTCCACTTTGGGAAAAAAAGTGGCTTGAATTGAAAACTGCCTCTCAAAATTATATGCTTTGGAGTATATTGTATATGAAGAAATATTAAGGTAGATAAAACTGATAAGGAATAGAAGGAAAAATAAACCCACTAATATTGCCCGACTCCACAGGCATAAGGCAGTTAATTTTTTTCCTAAATGTTCATTTCAGTTCATGCCAACATCACAAGAGGATATTTCAGAACTTCTCATAACAGCCATCAATGAGTTGGGCACCACTACGAAAACGGTTACTCTTAAAGAAGGTAAACTATGAACAGGTAGCCTTCAACCAGTTGACTAGAAGTCAGGCTGTCGGTCCCAGCAGTGTAGTGGAATCAGGGCTGGCAGGATCAGCTCCCTGGCACTTACTAAGAACCAGGGACTATGACACCCCCTTGAGCTTCCCTGTTCCTTCTGAGCCCAGCTGCAATTCTCTCAGTTGCTGGGAAATTAATTGCAAGCCATCCCTGTTTGTAAAGCAAAGTATTTGAGGGTCCTGAATAGACCATGACAAGCCCTTAACGTTACAAAAAGCTTGCTCCTCAATTAGTGATATGGAC